TTTCAGTATGTATGTGTGTGAGTGTATGTATATATATATATGTGTGTGTGTGAGTGAGAGAGAGAGAGGGGGGAGCAGAGAGAGAGAGCGAGAGAGCGAGAGAGAGAATCACTTATCCTCTTTTCTTGTTTATACTGTATTATTTTCCCCATTGTTAAAATTGTCAAATTAACCATTTGAATTTTCTATTTTCATATCATATTCTTAGATTAATTGTGTTATTACATAATGAAAGATTAAACTTGAAAGCGAAAAAAAACCCCTAAAATAAAATGTGTCTGTCTATTCGTCTATAAATATGATTATATAAACAAAATTATAATCTATTTTATAGTTAACTTTTATATTTTATAACTTTATTAATTTCATTAAAATTAATTCTAATTATAGATAATGTAAATGTGTTGTATAATATGATTAATGAATTGTAACATGAACATTGAATATTGAATATTGTCAATTGTCAATTGTCAATCTTTAATGAAATTGTGTATATTTTGTTGTTGTTGTTGTTGAAATTCTATGAAACATAATCATCAATTTAAACAAGATATTATTAATTGTGCCAATTTTCCAAAAAATTTTGTGGATCATTTAAATTTTTAAATCTATAGAAAGTATTCTAGAATAATTTGATTTAATTTAAAACAAAAAAAAAAGAAGGAAGGATAGAATATATTAATCAGATAACATTATCTAATTGAGGAGCGGTTAAGGTAAGTATTATAAAGTGTTTTATAAAAAGGTTTACTGGTTAAAATTATGAGTCAATTGAAAACCTGGAAGCACTGGATGCGCACTGCTGAGGAGTCCCATACTAGGACGAAACGGCCGTCTAGTTCTTCTAGGTTTTTCATGGTGGTCTAGCTTCAATTGACTTATAATTTCAACCAGTGAAATTTCTAAAATCTTCACACAACCCCTTCTGATAAGATGGTTTACGTTGAGTTCCAATGTTTTAATAATGAATTAGTTTATAATCTGATGAATAAAATGTATGAAAAAAGATTCACTTGAATGCCGATTTAATGGTCTAGAGGTTAAGCGTTTGCATGTGAGATTGATAGCTTCTCGGTTTGAATCGTGTGAGGCGGGATCGTGGATACACATTATTGAGGAGTCTCACAGTAGGACGAAATGACTGTTCAGTGCTTCCATGGTGGTTTAGCTTCAGTTGACTCATGAATTAAATAATTAAAAAAAACTTAGTATTGTTGGATTGTATCTTCCCATTGTTGTTTAGGACTACAATTGATTAGTCTCTTATTGACATATGTGTCTCTTGTGTGGACTACCTCAATATTGCCTTGAATCACAAGCATTCAAAGCAAAGATGGATAGTGGCTAGTAGTGGAATCCAGTTTGATGTGCGTTTCGTCCTAAATTTTGGACTTGTCAGCTGCATATGATTGCATCCCAGAGTTGATATTCACTTCTAGACTAGAACCCAGTACCGTTTTTTTTAAAAGCCATCATTTTGTCTACTTAGCCTGATAATGAGATGGTGTTTGAAGTGAACGGTATTCAGTTCGAGTCTCGGAATGAGTACTAACTTTGAGATGCAGATACATCCAGCTGACGAGTCCCAAATATGATGAAACATGCGTCAAACTAGATTCCATTGCTAGCCATTATTCATCTTTGATTATAAAGCTTGTAACTAACTTTGTTTGTGATTTTCACAACTTGTTTAGACTTAAATGAAATTGATAGTTGATTAGTTGTATAACATTTAAATTATCCTGTTTAAGGTTCGTTAATAAAAGAAATTAATGATTATCGTGAACGACTAACTATCATGGATATATATCTCTGAATTTTATCTGGATTGATTATTTATACTCACGAATAGGGCAAGAAAATAACTTTTAAATTTAACTGTTGAATTCATGAGTCGATTACAGTTAGACTACTATGGAAAACCTAGAAGCACTGAATGACCATTTCGTCCTATTTGGTACTCATCATCTGAATATATATTCATTCTAGGGGTGATGTTGTCGATTATATTCCACCATCCATTCATCTCTACTTATAAACCTTATGATTCAAGGCAATATTGAAGCAATCCACACAAGATAAACATATGCCAGTAAGTGACTGATCAATTTCAGTCCTTAACATCAATGTGACAATTCAAACAAACAATACCACATGAATTCTCTTGATTTTATTCACAAAACTTAACTTTTCAGTAAACTTAGACGAAATCAAAGTTATATACACAGAATTTATACTTTAATGCATTAGAAAGTAATCTGTTCTCTTATAGTGAAGTAGACTGTTTATTCTATTTAAAATGTTATGAATTGTGTAATACAATAAACTGACTGAAATTAATATTTATACCTCAATGGTAACGTGTTTCTGTACGAGATCGTAGGTCTGGGTTCAATTCCTAGTATGGGACTCCTCAGTAGTGCTCCTCCATGACTCCGCACACGGGACTCGAGCCCAGGATCTTCGATCTCGCGTGTGAGTACGCTTAACCTCCAGACCACTGAGCCGACATACAACTGTATTATTGTCTAACATCAATCAATCTATGATTCACTAATCTTCAATTTGAACATTTTGTATCAAAATATCTATAATGCTGAAATCGTGAATTCAAAGAAAAGATAGATTGTATTAGAAAACTTTTAATTGCATATTTCCTGTCTAACATTAACCAGTGTCATTGGATTGTTCGAATAAAGCTAAAAGGATATACAATGTTGGATTCTAACTGAATTTTAAGAAAAATGACCATACACGGTACATGACTTGAAAGTTCATGGCTTAGTCTCATTCAATATTGAACATTATCAAATTATTGACACAATATCTATACAGTGTTCTATAGATTTCAACAGTTTCTTCAAGAGATATCAGTTTATTCCAAAAACCTAAATAAACAACATCATCTTTAAACAGGAGGGTAATTAATTCATTGTTGATATTCAAGACTAAATTTTGATCAGCCTTATTTCATATAAGTGGATATTTTGAAGACTGCCTCGATCAAACTGCTTTGTTACAAGTTTTCTAAACAGTAACTAGGTGTGGAATCCGGAATGTGGGTTTCATTCTATTTGGAACTAATCAGCTGGATATACTTACATTCTGATACTAACGTTTACACTAAGGATCGAACACAGTATCTAGGATTGACAAAACTCCAGTCTGGAATAATGACTATTGAATAATCTAAATTCTTTATAATGATGATATCAACAATATACATGTTGACCAAGTTGGAGGTCATCTAACCTCAATAGTTTGATGAATTACTTCTTGGGGCTTGAAGCAGGTACATCCAACAGACGAGACCTCAATAAGACGAAATGACAAATATCCTGTATTCTACTCTTAATCATAACTCAACTTCAATAAAACTGGAATTTTTCATTACTTGTAATTACATTTAAATGAAATTTTCAAAGGGAACAATTAGTCGTTAAAAACAGTATGTTTATTTTACTGCTCAAAATTGAATTACTAATCTTATTATCTAGACACTTTGTCTGTAAAACACATGGAATAACGCTTTGTTAGATAAATGGAACGATGTTAAATCAATTATAATGTATTACTGGTAGGATGACATAATTAATGCTCCTATTTAAAAACTAGAATTTGGTACAGAAATAACATTTATCATTTATAGCATGTTTTACATGTTGACCTAGAACGCAAAATATTACTTCAGAAGGTATATCTTAATTCTAAAGAAGATAGATCAATATGAAGTGTCATGGTAATAAATTTTAGTTTGATTTGGATCGAGAAACATATCTATGAATTCTATTTCGTGTATTTTCAATAGCTAAATATCATTGCTCTCACATGGCTACGTGCATAAAACCAGTACCAGGGAAGTCCTACTTACTGCTTTTTCGCACCATTGGTGTTGTTTATGAAATTAAGAGAACGCAAAGCGAATGTCCGACTCCTTTATTGGGTTGGTGGATATAGAGGATCCACCTAAGGGAGTTAGAAAACGCTGATTTCAAACCAATGATGCACATAGGCTCTAAGATCCTGAAGGAAACAAAAGACGTATGAACTAAACGTTGGTCACCGGCTACTATGGGACTGCATCTCCTAACGTTGTTCTATTACCTTGTGGATTAGAACTTTAGGTCGAAGGCTCCCTAAGAAAACCATCTGTTTCGGTTTGAGCACCCGGGAAGAATCCGAGGCCCCACACAAAATGAATGATTTATCCGGCGTATATCTATTTAGTGCCCCCTTATACTGATATGTATTTATTTAAATAAATAAATATCACCTTGAGAAATAATTGAAAGACAATATTTTAGTGTAATTCGCCATGTTACGGATAGTTAAACCACTGGACACATAGTCTATTTCATTTTTACATTCTATCTGAAATATAACATTCTTTTTCGTTTCAGTTTAGATTGTACAAATCCCCCCCCTCAAAGAAACACTTTGAGTGTAGGATCCTATGCTTGGAATTTTATGTTATCATTAAAGTTAATTAGTTATTGATTATAATTTATTTGGAATGTTATCTAATGTTTATAATCAATAAATGGAATCTTAAGATCAATAAGAAATCGATATTGTTACTGTTATCAATTTGAGTTATGATATTGTATTGTAGTGAACAAGAATACCATAGGAGACAATCAAATGTATATAAGTATAAAATGACAGAATCTTTTAGTAAAATCTGAGAATCATATAGTAAATACTTCAATTAAAAAGTGTCAATCAATTGTCTCAAACTTGATTGTTCTTTCATTTCCACATTAATCTCTTTTCTTTGATGTTCTTAATTTTCTGCCTCCAGGCATTTCATTTTCGATTAATGATACATACTACTTAAATTTGTTGATATCAGTAGCACACACCACATGATCTAATATGCTGATATTCTGATTCTAGATAACGAATTAAATGGAAGATTTAATTGGTTGTTTTTGTCTTATGCTATTACATAAACTACATGTAAACATCTAAAACTCATTGTATTTATCAATAAGGTTTACAATTCTTTATTTAAACACTAATTAAGATGATTGGAGAATATGAGTAAGACGCCAAAATCGATTATGTTTAATCTTATTTTCCTAGTTATTTGTATTGTGTAAATAAAAGCGATCCTGGGTTCGATTCATACGAGGTGGAATTGTAGCTGTGCACTATTGATGAATTCTACAATAGAATGAAACGGTCGTCCAGTTCTTCCAAATGTTCCATGGTGGTTTAGATTTAATTGACTCATGATCACAACGATTAAAAATTAATCATTTAACATAATAAAGTTTTTCTATCCATTGAAAATATGTTTAATATTTATCAATTCAGGTAATTAATTGTGTATGGGCTCTTGTGCATCAACTGGTGTTTCACAAGCTGGAAGTCCGGCAAAAAATCAATTATCGAATGGTATTCAACAAAATTCTTTGAATATACAAGAAATGAATCAAACAGGAATAAGAAATATAAATGAAGAAATTGGTAAAATGGCTAGTCAAGAAAAGAAAACTGATAATTCTAGAAGTAATTATGTACTATCTGGTATAGATCTATTGGATTATGGAGTGGGTAAGTTTTTTCTTTTTTTTTTGGCTGTATGAAATTCCCTTCTTATTTCACATCTAAAACTGATTTTCCATTCATGAATGAATCTGAACAATTTCGTGGATTGGTTGAAGTTAGAATCCCGGCTCAATGGTCTAGAGGTTAAGCGTTTGCGCGCGAGAATGAAAGCCTTGGGTTTAAACTTCACGAGGCGGAATCGTGGATGGGCACTCCTGAGGAGTCCCACAGTAGGATGAAATGGCCATCCAGTGCTTCCAGGTTTTCAATGGTGGTCTAACATCAATCGGTTCATGATCTCATTCAAAAACTTAATAATCTCTACAACTCAATACGGATAATTCATGAATAAGTTTATTCACATCTAGAAACTCGAAGAAAAGCAAAACAATGATTCCTTGACTAATCTTCAAAGAGAAATAATCTCCAATCTATTGTAGCAAGTTGTATTAGATCTTACATGTGTGTTTAAATGTGTTTGTTTTGTTAGGGAACGTTAGTTTTCACAAGTTAGTAATGGTTACTGATTATGTGGAAATCAAATTATACAACAAGACAATACTACAGTATATTTGTTATTGAATGATTGAAAAGAACCTGTAAAATACTGGAATTATCGTTTTATTATTGAGTTTGGATGCACCACATAATATTAAGTCATTATTATTAACAATGCCTTTATCCAGTATTCTATATTTGGTACAATATAGAATTCTCAGCTCAAAATACTTCAATAAGTTTCCGTTCCTTATTTCTTGGTTGATTCTGATGATAACATACTGAGTGTTCATCAGTTGGATGTTAGCAGTTCAGGAATCGATATCTGAATAGTGTACATCCTTTTCGATACATATATCCAGCAACTACGATGTCTATGGTTAGGCTCTTTTGTAACTTGTACATTGAAATGTCGTAAACATTTCATAAACACACTTGAATAGGTCATGATACTAATAAGTAAACAGATAACTTGTTGAAATATCCAGATATCAGGTACAGGTAGCTCAGATATTCAAGCGAGCTACGTTGTTCCTGATTGAAATTCAAACTGTTCTACAGTTGAATGACTTTATATATGGTTAATACGCCATGATGAATATCAATGAGTTATATTTTCTCCTCTTAAAGGCGGTTATTTTATTTGAGATATTTGTAGATCCATATTCTATAGTGTTTCAGAGAGTTTAGCAAGAAAACAACAATGGACATGAACAAAAATACTATACACTAGTAAAATGTTCTATATATACACAAAACTTTATTTTATAATTTACATGATAGATTAATGCTTCTTGAACAATAGAAATTCCTAGTACAATCATGGATATAACACTCCCATTTACGATTTTGATAAAAGTTTATTCTCTGAGCTGGATAGTTTGTGCAGATGATGTCGTGTAGAAGAACAATTAAAGTTCCACAACAAAACCATCCAAATCAGTGAACACAATTTCATCAAAATCATCCACTTGAGCTACAAACAAATTTTGTTCATCATTTCCACTTACGAGCTCAATACTAATAAGAAACATCTGTTCAGTGATTTCTGGTTCTTAATAGTTGTCTAACTAAGATCAGTTCATGACTTCATACATGAAATTTATTCATTTCCATAACATCAATTAATAAGTTAATATGATTGGTTTATTCAATTACTTTACAAGATAATCATCAATGGTTCACATTAATCTTGAATATATCACAGTTTTATTTTCAAGAAGTGAACTTATTTATTTATTTGAACAAATGAATATTGTTACAAGAGGGCACTGAATACATATACGCCATACTTCATCATTTTATTTGTATAAAGGCTGAGGTGCCCAAAACAAAACAGATGGTTTTCTTAGGGTACCAAACCCAGAGCCTTCGACCTAAATCTTTAATCCACAAGGCATTAGAGTAACGTTAGGAGATGCAATTACGTGGTAGCCGAGAAGTCTAATGTTAAAAAGAATTAATTATCAATCCCCTTCTAAACTTTTAATGATGGTTTAATCAAGATCAGTCCGTGGTGTAAACTATCTCTACAACTCTTCTACACTAATAAAATAACATTCAATTTGATATCAAAATCTTTCACCAAGAAAATTTAAAATTGAATAATAATAAACAAACAATGAATAAATTAACTATCTTAGGTGTTATAACTTGTGGCCTTGTGCCTTATTAATGTATAATTTAATGATACGGTCAATTAGAGAACAGTGCGTTATCGACAGGATCAATGATGTATAAAACCCGTACGAGCAGTCTAGAGTCGTTATCGGTCTTTCTCCCTGCTTGATAAGTCCAGAACACCAATCTCAGACTCTGCAATATGAATTATGTATTTCAAATATACTGGGTTTATATACATCAGCTAGACAGACCACATCGGACCATAAAATAGAAAATAACATTTGTACACAAGATTTAGCCAAAAGTAGCTGTGAATGTGTGAGACTGTAATGAATAAACTGGACATAGCTTAAGAATGGTAAATCGTATAATAACAGTTCATAGATCAAAATAAAGCTTATTATAAACGGAATATGAATATGCATAGTCTAACTACCTAACAATTATACATTGAGAATATAAGTATCGTATTAGTCCGCAAATAGATCTCAACAGTTACCATTGATAATTCTCCTCGGGATATAACAGTAGGTTGTTAACATTTGATGATATTAAACTTAAATAGACATTCCGGAAATAATTTGGAATACCTAATTTTGTTTGTTTTCTTTTTCCTCAATAGGATTAAAAGATATACCACTTCGTACTTCTGATACAAATATGACAACAGATGAAGAACTTGATATGGAATGTGCATTATCTGGTGTATCACAATTTTTCTATAAAAATTTAACTACATGTACATTGGGTCAATATGCACAAATACCAAATGATACAGATATGCTAAGAACAGTGAATACACCTGAATCATTAAGAGCTTGTTATGTAAGGTATGTGTATAGTGTTCTTATAACATTTTTGATATGTTATACTTAAGTAATTTATCGACTAGTCTTACATTCGTGAAAATGGTAAACAATTTGAAACTGTATATAAGTTATACAGAAGAGACTATAGTTTATGGACGAACCAATCAGGTGTAAGATAACAGGTCTCGGATTTTGGCGCGAAATTCACTCATTCATTTGGCTAAATAGAGTTTTGACATTATAGCTAATGCCAGTTCGAAATGAAGACCCTAATTCTAATTCCTCATACTGGTTTATAAACTTCATTTAGTTTTAGTTATTAGGTGGACATCTTCAAGGTTAGTTTAGCGTCTCTCAAAGGTCATCCATAAACTATAATCTCGTTATCAAACGCTCTTTAACAATGCTCCATCTTAAAGAGGTAAAATATCTGGTTGTTCTTATAAATCTTTTCATCAATTTTAAGCAAGTAAATTTGTAATTGGTAGCAATACATGGCTGATAAGCTTGTTTGAGGGAAACTGGATAATACAACTTTCTCAAGAGTGAAGTTTCTTGTTGAATGTTATATATTTAGATAAAACTACTTAATGGTATAAATCCACTTAATGTTGTTTGCATGTATCGTCCGACTATTGTTTAGGACTGTAATTGATCAGTCTCTTATTGACATATGTGAATCCTGTGTGGATCGCCTAGATACTGCCTTAATTCACAATCTTTATAAGCAAAGATGGATAGTGGCTAGTAGTGGAATCCAGTTTGACGCCCATTTCGTCTTGTTTGGGACTCGTCAGCTGGATGTACCTGCATCTCAGAATTGATATTCACATATGCCGACAAAAGACTGATCAAGTGCCGTTCAAATGCAACAATGAGATAATGCAAACAAAGAATACCAAGTGAATTTAAACTTCACCTCATTGCATGAGCAGGTGACTATCAGAACTCAGTAGCTAAGTGGATAACGCAACGGCGTTTAAAGTGAACGGTATTGAATTCGAGATCCAGAGTGAACATCAACATTCAGATGCAGGAATACCCAGCTGACCAATCTCAAATAGGACGAAATGTTCATTAAACCGGATTCCACTGCTAGCCACCATCTATTTTTACTTAATGGTATTGTTAAAATTTTTATTGTTCATCAGATGACACATTTAACATTTACCGTGAGAAAACACTGATGGATGAATAGCTTTACGATCTGTTTAGTTGAAGTCATGAGGTATCTGCTTGAACTACATATCTTCCTCATGCTTTCCAATGTTTTATGTCTATAATAAGTGCAATGTGAAAAAATTAAGGAAATATCATTAAATATACATACACTACTCTACTCATACTGTAGTAAACGAAAACACTGGCGGGCACAGTCGAATGTATTTGAACACAAAATTACAGGTCATCTTAGTAAAATATGAGAACCATACAGTAAATAGTATATTTGTAAAATGTCAATAAATTGTCTCAGACTTCATTGTTCTTTCATTTCCACACCAATCATTCTCTGTTCTCCTTCTCTTTTCTTTGATCTTCATTAACCTTCTACCTCGAAACATTTCACTTTCTATTGACAATACATACTACTTATATCTATCGATATTAGTTGCACACGCAACTATACTACTGTAGTGAAGGAGAACACAGATGAGGACAACCGAATTATATTTAGTATAAAGTTACAGCGTTACTTGATAAAATAGAAAAACCATACTACAATACTTAATGTTCAATAATTGTCTTGCATTTCATTTTTCTTGCATTTCCATATTAATTGCTTTCTATTCCTATTCTTCATTTCTTGATCTGTCTAATCTTATGCTGCCAGACATTACATTCTTGGCTCGTGTTATATACTACTTATGTCAATATAAGTAGCACGTACCACACTATTATTAAACTGAAAAAGATTGATATGACAAAAAGTATTTCATTGATTGATTGACTGATTAGTTGATTGATCAATTATTTAGAACCTTCTTTTGACTAAATATATCATGACAATATATATATATATATATATATATCTATGTACATAATCGTAAATAATGTATTTGGCCTAAATCAATTTATTTATGATATGTGATTGTTGTTGTTGTTTTTGTTGTTTTCTTTTCTTTTTTTCTTTTCTTCTTTCAATATTGTTAATCAATATTGTTAAGTTGTTATTATTTTTTCTTTTCTAAATTTTATTTGGATAGAATGCGTCATATCTATCAAATGATCGAAACCGATCGTATGGGTAAAGCAACATTATTGAAAAATATACAGTATGCAATAAACGTTATGGAAAATGCTTATATAGCGGAGAAACGGTAAGTTCTATATATGTACATAGTATGATGAAACCTCTTGATATCATTTTATATTATCCGTTATAATATATCGTCTAATAATTGGTCAGTCATACTTAGTTGTTATTGAACGATATGAAATTATATCTACTGATTTGATCGTTATGTAATAATCACTAGTCAGCTATTTATACTAATTAAAGGTTCTTGAAGTTTACAATGAAGCAGATAGACTAAGTGAATTAAGATCAAGGGAGACAATACGGGATGAAGTTAATTACCATTACAGTATTTTGTTTCTTCTCCAGATAAACCTATTGTATTGACTGTTAGCTGAGTGATGTTTTGGATTGAAGTAGTCCAGTGATAAACTTAAACATTTGTAGCTAGACTATCATGGAGAACCTGGAAGCACTGGAAGGCCGTTTTGTCCTATTGTGGGACTCGTCAGCATTCCACATCCATGATCCCGCCTCGCGAGATTCGAACACAGGACCTATCGGTCTCGCGTGCGAATGCTTAATCTCTAAACCACTGAGCCAGCATCCAACGTTGTTAATGTCTAACTTCAACTAATCCACGAAATTGAGCTGAGTAGTCCCATAATAGGACAAAAGGGCCGTCCAGTGCTTCCAGGCTCTCCATAGTGGTCTAGCTTCAATGGACTTATGATCTCAACTATTAAAATTACTATTTTATCCACAAAATCCCATTCTGATAAAATAGAAATAACTCTCTTAAATATTCACCTTACATATGGTGTATATTAGCTAACAACCATTATAGTCATATGTTACGAAGTTTTAGATTTTTATTTAATGCCAAGATATCACTGAACCATGCTCTGGAATACAATGGTAATAAACATTGGTTTGAGAATTTTTCAAATAAGCTAAAGAAGTCCCTTGATTTGTATACGCGAGTCAGTCAGTCAGCTGTAACGTAGGACCAGGCACATATATACATCGGTCCAAGTTACCATACCTCATTAGCACAACAAGATGAACACCACATTTATAGAAGTAGTTAATTCAGTGGCGGTAATATATAGAAGAAAGAATGTGTATAAGGATATAGTAAAGGAAGATAGAATTAGTTCGTAGAAAGAAAGATTTGAAGTGATTTTAATCTCATAGTTTAAGGGAAGACAGAGAATTGCTACACCTACATCATTGTGATCGATTCTGAGCCATGTCATCAAGAGTCTCCAACCATTGGTTACGATAGTCACGCGGACCCCAACCAAGTAGTCTGCATCTACCAACATAGCTCAGACCAGAAGTTAGTGACTTCAAGCACTGATGCCACGTTTTGGTTTACCACCCTTAACTTTCTTCCAATTATCCCTAACACCGGTTAACATTGCGCGTCGTGATTAGTATATACATATATATGATCATTTGTCTTTCCAAGACATTAACATAATGATAATTACATTGTTAGCCTTAGCATTACATTTCATAACTCACTTGTAACTAGTATTAAGAAGGAACAATTACAATTGAAAAATGCCTCATTGAGGCATTAATCATCATGAAAACGTTTGGTTGTCAAATGATTCTGATCCATTATTGTAAAGTAATTAAATTAAGCATAAATGATTCATTCTCAGTATCATATTTAAATATCATATGTTTATTGATTTAATTTTGACTATTTTTGTTGCTCTATTCAATAAAGGACTAAGTTCTTGACCTTGGTTTGAATCTTCGATGATGTTGATTTGAATACTGGGAAAAATGAGTAAACAAATGACTTTCCAGTTGTTTTTGTGTTTTTTTGTATCTGTGTTGATTGTTCATTTTGAAATTAGATTTCAATAGGCTTTGGATACAAACAATTACTTAATTGCTTACTTACTTATGCCTATTACTCCTAATGGAGCATAGGCCATCGACCAACCTTCTCTCACCCACTCTATCCTGGGCCTTCTTTTTTAGTTCCATTCAATTCTTGTTCATTCTTCTCATGTCTGTCTCCATTACTAGGTGTAATGTGTTCTATGGTCTTCCTCTTTTCCTTTGGCCTTGAGAATTCCATGTGAGAGCTTGCCTTGTGACGAAGTTGGGTGGTTTCCTCAATGTGTGTCCTATCCACTTCCAATGGATACAAACAATACATACTTAAAATTTCGAATTACATAATTTCTGAAAAAAATGTTTTGTTTTGTTTACAGACGTATTCGTGAAGAAGAAGAAGATTTATCAGAAGCTGCAACAGAATATGTACCAGATGAAGTACGTAATTGGCTTGCATCAACATTTACACGTACTGTACAAAGTGTTGGGATTGGTGAACAAAAGCCTAGATTTCGTAGTGTTGCTAATGCAATTAGAGCTGGAATATTTGTTGAAAGGTAAATCTAAATAGTTCTTTGTGTTGTTGAATGTTTGCATTTTTTAAACGCTATATCTGAACTTCAGTGTTTAGTAAAGACAATCCGATAATGCCATTTTATGTAATAATCAATTTCATGACTGATTAATAGGATAATTTTGTTTGAGATTATTTTAAAAGTAACGTCGTAAACTATGATTCCAAGTAACAATTATTTATTGATTTGAACACATAAATACTGGTACAAAGAAGCACCAAGCAGATGTACGACACATAAATCATTCGATTTGTGTGGGAGCTGGTATACTACCCAGGTGCCCAAATCAAAACAGGTGGTTTTCTTAGGAGGCCACACCTGAAGCCTTCGACCTAAAGATCTAATCCACAAGGCAATGGAGCAGCGTTAGGAGATTCAGTCCCATGGTAGCCGAAGACCAACGTTTAGTTCGTACGTCTTTCGTTTCCTTCAGAATTCTGGAGCCCATATGCACCGTTGGTTTGGAATGAGGGTTTTCCAACTCACCTACGTGAATCCTCCATATCCACCAACCCGGCTAAAGCACTGGACATTCATTATTTGTTCTTTCAATTTTGTAAACAACATCCGTGGTGCGAGAACGTGGTGAGTATGACTTTCCTGGCAGGGATAGCTCACTCTACCCACTCTCAACCGTACCAGGGCATTTTGAGGGAAAGTAACAAAAAGTGTAAATCATTGTATGAGACTTGGATTTTATGGAAGTAAAGCTCATGGTAAACATTTCCAAACACTTTAAATGATCCATATTAAGTATATCACATATACATGTTGAAAACGTCATTCGTTTTGAAAAAACTCCGTGTGTTGGTTGTATTTATTTACTTGAAAAAAATACTTTACGGGTTTTCTCTGTTGTTTTTTTACCGATAGAAACATGTAGTGTATTTGTAATTTGCACTACGTACTATGTAGATAATGTAATGTAGTTGGCAGACACCTCTGTACTCAGTTTGCAGGTCGGCTGATGATCATCAACAGGGAATATTAGAAAGATTGACGTGATTGATTACCTTGAGAGGACTTGAATTTTAAGAAATTAATATTGCAATTATAGACTTGAACACTAAGTCAATTGAGTTTCAAATGATCTACGCTAGGACTGAAATGATTGCATAAATCAGTCACTGGTTAAAATAGATATATAACTTGAGCGTTAAAATTACTCACTACAATATTACGGAAAACATAGAAGGAATTAAGTTTTTAGATTTTTATCATCCAGAAAGTGATTTAAACTCAATAAATGATAGTGCAAAGTAAGTTAGACATTAAAATCGTTGGATATCGGTTCACTAGTTTCGAGGTTAGGTGGGGCTCCCCAGCAGTGCCCATCCACAACTACGCACACGAGACTCAAACCCAGGACCTTCGGTTTCGCTCGCGAACGCTTAAAATTCAGACCACTTGGTTTGCAATTAACGGTGTTAATGTCTAACTTCAATTAACCCATGATCTTGTGCAACCCTTCATCCATTGTCTAAGGTGGGTAACTTTCTCATACTTGATACAAATGTGGATGGATTTCCTGGAGTTCTAGTGAGAAGCCGTAACCAATGGAGTCCAATCCGTGTCAGGTGGAGACCGTTATCCACTTCAGACAATGGATGAAGGGTTTCACAAGATCATGCATCGATTGAAGTTGAACGTTAATACCGTTGGATGCCAACTGAGTGGTCTGGAGGTTAAGCGTTCGCGCGCGAGACCGAAGGTCCTGGGTTCGATTACCGTGTTCGGGATTGTTGATACGCACTTCTGACGAGTCGCATACTAGGATAAGACGGCCATCCAGTGCATCTAGGTGGTCTAGCTTGGATCGACTTATGAATTCAACTATTAAAAAAAACTTTAATTGTTTGTAATATTTTTCTGTTCATTCAGAATTTATCGTCGTATGTCAAGTTGTTCCAATCTTATTGTTCCACCAAATGTACTTCTATTTCTTAAAGTAAGTTGCTCATTATTTTGTAAAGTGATCATTAATTCAATAATCTTCTTGCATACAATTATATTGAAAATTATATAATAACAATGAGCATCTTTAATACAGATGATAATGCTGAATATACTATTCATTTCATTGATAGGCCAAAACATTTCTGTTTAAGTTTCTTACTATATAGAATCCAATGTGAACTAGGAATTACTAAAATACCAGATTTATTATTTATTCTATATATTTATCACCAAATGTCTGATAAACAACACTTCCAAGTTGGGTACATTATACATACTAATAGTGAATTGTTAGCTTAATACTTAATTCGTTCAACTCTCATTCAATGAGTCGTAGCTACATACCTCAGTTCATCTATTTTGATTTAAGTAGTATTACTAATACCCACATATGACACTTATGTGTCATTTTGATTCAATGTGAAGTATAAAATTTACAAAATTGATAAAGAACTTGTTACGTTCTTGATCTGTCTACCCAATATTATGCAAGAGAGGACATTTCTCGATCTAGGTTAACGCCTTAACACGGTAGACTAACTGGTTAAACCTTTAGACTAGAAATGAATCAGTCCGAATTGGCAAAGAGACAAAAATTATTCTATCACATGATTGATTGGCAATCAAATGAGAGAAAACGAGTCAACTGAAACACAACTTGATTTATTTCTGATCACCCATTCAGATCAGTGTAAAAAGATACATAAATAAATAGATGACTATCACGATCATAACGCACAAACAATTAAGAAATACAATTATTTAATTGTTGAGTTCATGAGTCAATTGAAGCTAGACCAGCATGGAAAACGTGGAAGCATTAAACGGTTGTCTCATCTTAGTATAAGACTCCTCAGCAGTGCGCATCCATGATGGTCTAACTTGAATCGACTCATGAATTCAACCATTAAATCACTACAATCCCCACAAAACTCCTTTATAATAAATACAATTATGCTCAGAACTAAATATTGGGGTAAAAACCTAGATTACAAAAGATTATGTTTAAATTACAATAGCTTTGAATTAGAAAAGGGTATGACAGTGAATCATACATCTAACAAAAGCTTATGGTTTATAGAATAATTAAAGGAAAATAGATGATAGAAGGTGGATTGATATTTTGTAAAAGTGTTTAATATTCCAGTAAAAATGACAATAGGATGACCTGCTCAAACAAATGACTCACTGCTTTTCTATTCACAAGCTAAGCTGCCAAAAAAATGTTTCCTATTTTTATATTTGTTTCAACTACTTCACTATATCTATCAATCAAGTGTATTTACGCTCTTACTGTACGGAACTAAAACTGCTACAATCATCATCAAAAAGGTATAAGTATTGATAAACAGTTGTATACGTAAGATTCTCAATGTCCATTGGACGGAAACAATCAGCAGCAGCTTACTGTGGAAGAGAACAATCTGAAAAGGAAATTAGGAGAAGGTGTTGGAAGTGATTAAGACACACCTTGAGGAAATCATCAAACTGCATCACAAGGCAAGCACCAACTTGAAATCGTGAAGGGAATCGTAAGCAGAAATGAAAAGGATGAATAAAAACTTGAAAAAACTAGAAAGGATTGTCCAGGACAGAGTTGGACGGAGAATGTTTGTGTGTGGCCTATGCTTCTCCATGAGATATAACAGGCGTGAGTAAATATTGAAGAAATGAGAGGAGATTACCACAGAATCCATGCATTAAACTTAATAAAGGAAAGAGATATCATATATGTTAAATCATCAATGTTTGAAGGCTTTTCAATACATACTTATCAATTATTATCATCCAGTGAAATAAATATGGAAAGAGAATAAAGGGAAATGAAGAATTCAAAAGATTAGTATTTAGGAGAACACAAAGAGTGGATGCACCTGCACCGTTGCAAATGATTTTGAGTCATGTCATTCAAGGTCTCTAACCATCGGTTTCTATCATCTCGTGGATCCCAACCAATTAGTCTACACCTATCAATATGGCTAATTTCACTTTTCAGTAACTTCATGGATTTATGCCATGTTTTGTTCTGGTCGTCCCTAGCTTTCTTTCAACCTACTCCTATACCACAAAGAGTCGCACATCAGAGCAGTCGATGATTGGGCATACGTAACACATGTCCCAGTCATCTCAACTGATAAATTTTCACTACTTCATCAATTGATTTTCCATTCTTACTTAGTACCCGTTTTCTAACAACTGTATCACTTACTCGGTAGTCCCAGGATATACGAGCAATGCTTCAAAGACACCTATGATCAATAGATCATATATTAACTGGAAGACCACTAAACAAATGCTTGGTTTTAATTTGGTTATCTTCAACATTTTAAGTATATTCCAATAGGTTACAGTCATATTAGATCATCAGTTGCATTCAATACTTCATCAGAAAATTGAACTAATATTAGCAATCAACATAACTCTATTTATACATCTCGAACTATCAATAAACATACAATGTAAACTTAATTATATCTAATTGACATTGATCTATTCAGAAATGATTTAATTCATGTAGTACAACAACATAGTGAACATGATAAGGTCTAGAAAACTTTGTCAGATGATAGTTGAGTAAAGATAATGACAATGTTAGATTTATTATTATACTGTTGGAAACTTATAATAATCCAATATTTCTTTCCTTTTTTTTTTTTAATTTATTATAAGACTGGTTTAGATACTTGGAATTTTGATGTATTTGGATTGAATGAAGCAAGCGAAAATCATGCATTGAAATTTGTTGCTTTTGAATTATTACATAAATATAATCTTATTAATAAATTCCAGGTAAGTATAGATTTAGTTGAAGACAATAGGATTGATTGAAAGATAAAGAATTAATAACTTAGTAACTGAAAGATAACATCAGACTTATCTGATTACAGTTGTGGATAATGTGAATTTGTTAGTTAATTTGAGGGAATTTTTGTTTTCTTTTTCTTTGTAGCCCTATATCTGATTCCAGTTTGATCGTTTCTGATTGCTATCAAGGTATACATATCGAAATATGTATATATATATCCTGACTATTCTCGTATATATAGTTATCGACCTAATCCGCGTTAGTGAATAACAGAATTAAAATAAGTCAATTAAGAGAATAGATTTTGAATACATATATTTTGTACAATCATTGATCCAGACAGAACGATCAAACGAACGAAGTAAAATGAAATGATACGCGGTTGACAAGGTATATGAGCCAATTCCATTGAATCAAGTGTTAATCAATACATACGTAGTCAGGGTTGATAAATGAATGATTAACAAGGTCAAAATGTGATTCAAGAAGAATGGATAAATTGGCTTGTCTAGAAGCTAGAATAAAGTATATGGGCTTAATATAACAACCGACTGTACAATCTCATAAACATGCATTATTATTTATTTATTTTATTCCTATTAGCTTTATTCAATATTATAGTCTTGGTACAATATAGAATTCTCAGCTTAAAGTATTTCAACATGTTTCCATTTCTTACTTCTTGATTGATCCTGACGATAAGTATTGAGTGACTACCAATTAGATGTTATCATTACAGGAATCGATATCTGAATAATATACATACTTTTCGCTGAATATTACCAACAACCATGATGTCTTTGATTTGGCTTTTTTTTGAAACTTGTACTAAGAAAGGTTGTAAACGTCATTAATGCACCGGAATAGGTTATGAGATTAACAGATATAATGATGATGATAGGAACAGATGTTTAAGCAGGCCGCTATCATCAATAATTAATCTTGACATTCATCATAATTTATCAGAGATTTCAGCGAGATTATAATTTATGGGCGAATCAATCAGATATAAGATAACGAGTCTCGAATTTTGCCGCGAAATTCATCCATACATTTGGCTAAATAGAATTGAGGCATTATAACTAATGTCAGTTTGTAATGAAAACATTAAATATAATTTCTAACTCTAACCATCAACTGTAAATGAGAATTTTAACTGCTTTATAACTCTCATTGAGTCCTAATCAGTAGGTTTCCACTCTCAAGGTCACTTCAGCGTCACTCAAAAATCATCCATAAATTATAGTCTCACCGACATTTCGTTCCTCTGGAATAAAAACAGTAGGTCAGTTGACCTGTTTTAATCCTTACAGTATGTTTCCCTATGATGATCTGGTTCCACTTTGAAAGCCTTCAAAGATGAAGCTAATCTCTTTTTGTACGGTCAGTCGTTGATCACCTTACCGGAAATATAAAATTTGAAACTGAGTTTATTCGTTTTTAAAAAAGTCTTTTTGAGTCTTCTTTTATTGACATCTAAGATGATTCGTTCTAGAGGATATAAAAACTCGAGACATCAAGTCATCATTCACGATCTAGAATGTTATCAGAATGTTGCTTCATTGTAGTAAATTTAATTATCATGATCATGTTTAACCATATTTGATTCAAGTACTAGTAGTTGTGATTTGAATTACTACATTTCAGTTGAAGTCCTCCAGGATATCCTCACTAATGCTATTTATGATTAGAATGCCCATTTCCATTTCATAGGTTAAAATTGAATGACATCATCCATTGTAAATTTAATGAGTTGATTATTAACTATACGTATCAGGTATGCTTAGTAATATGATATTTCGGCTAGCCTGAATTTATGAACGAACCAATCAGATATAAGATAACGAGCCTTGAATTTTGGCGCGAAATTTACTTAGCTATTTGGATAAATAGAATTTTAGCATTATAGGTAATGTCAGTTCGTGATGAAAAACCCTAAATGAAATTCCTTACTTTAACCATCAATTATAAATCATTATTCTAATTCATCACACTGGTTTATAACCTTTCATTTGATCCTAGTTAGTAGGTAGTGTAAATCATCAGCTTAGATGATCTATGTCGAATGATTGGGGGCCTATTATTGTTAGACGGGAATAGTGTGACAAACCAGCTAACATCGAAGTCACACCTTGCGGTCAGCACCTTATGTTCATTGCTCCATCAACGTATCAAGGTACTATAGATGGTTTTGAAGACTGTACAACACAAAGGACGTTATTACAGAAATATATTAGTTAAAGTAGATACAAGCGAAAGTAAGACCACCATCGCATAGGCCAGTCCATGGCGTATGATTAACTGATGCGCGTCGGTCGTCCTTGACCTTGACAGGGATCGATGATCGATTCGATATTCACTGACCCAAATACCGGATGATTTGGCTAAGGCTTAGTGACATTTTACTCACCTTACAGTACACACTCTCAAGGTCACTCTGGTGTCATTCAAAGTTCATTCACTAATTATAGTCTCACTTATTTATCTTGTAACTAGTAGAAACTATTACATAAAATCTTTCTTTTTCAATATAATTCTATTTCAGATAAATAGTACTGCATTAGAAAGTTTATTAATTCAACTTGAAACTGGTTATAGTAAATACAGTAATCCATATCATAATTTGGTTCATGCAGCTGATGTAATGCAAACATGTCATATGATTATTTTTATGAATGATCTTAGGGTAAGTTATTGTCTTCTTAAAAGAAAAAAAAATAAAGTTAAAAGTTGTTTTATCTTTAGAAGAATATGTTTTTTTTTCACTATTTAAATCATAATGAAGTTTTGTTCCCTGAACTGGATGGTTTGATCGTGGAGCTTTCATCATTCTTCTAAACGATATCATTAGCAAAAACTTCAGGTAGAAGTGGAATGCTCGAATTACTCCACATGTAATTTACAGCTTGTTCTGTACACTTCCATGTTGATTGGTTCTTGTTGACGTTAAACCTGTTATTTGCATCCTGGATTCTCTTGCTATGCACTATCCATCTTTGCTTTATTTTCCAACTTTCAATAGCCAGGAAATTAATTTCAAACTTCATTATAGAATGAAACTTAGTTAATTATTCTCATCAATTCATTTCCAAGTATTGATTTAACAAAAACATTATTCTATTCAAATCATTTCTTTATTTTGTTTTAGTCTCGGAGTTGATGTTAGACATTAACACGATCCGAAACCGGATCACTAGTCTAGGGGTTAAGCGTTTAATTTAATTAAAAAACTATATTTTCTCTGTAACTATGCAAAAGTCATTTCAAGTTAGCCAGTTTTGTTTCAATTTTATACACAAAGAATTATCAATGAATAAACGACACAAATGTTTAATATCAGAAGGGGTTTTTAGGATATTGAAGCTAGATCAACATGGAAAACCTAAAAGTACTGGATGACCGTTTCATCCTGTTGTGAGACTCCTCAGCTTAATTTCATGGATTAGTCAAAGTTAGACATTAACACCGTTGGATGCCGGCTCAGTGGCATAGACGTTAAGTGTTCATTCGCGAGACCGATATGTCCTGGGTTCGAATTCTGCAAATGGGATTGTGAATGCGTGCTGTTGACGAGTCTCATACTAGGATAAATCGGTTATCTGGTACTTCCAGCTTATCCATGATAGTTTAGCTTTAATTGACTTATGAATTCAATCATTAAAACGAAATGGTATAGATATTTGAAAACGATATATTTAGAATCCATAATTATTTTGATGAGGACAAACAACGAAATAGGATATCAATCAATAATTGCTATTTTTAACAGTCCACTCCTTAAATAAATGTGATCTATTTCCATTTATTATTTATTACCTTAGATATAAAAAATGTTTTGTATTTATTTATTTGTTTATTAAAACCACACCCATTTGATTGTTAAATGACAAATTTAAACGGTGAAAATTTATTGTATATTGAATCTATTCTAAAAAAAAGAAAGAAAACAAGAAGAAAGGCGTGTTCCATCCACTATCACTAACAACTATACCTTCATAATGATTGCTAACTTTATCATCATCATCATCATCATCATCATCATCATCATCATCATCATCATCATCATCATCATCATCATCATCATCATCATCATCATCATCATCATCATCATCATCATCATCATCATCATCATCATCATCATCATCATCATCATCATCATCATCATCATCATCATCATCATCATCATCATCATCATCATCATCATCATCATCATCATCATCATCATCATCATCATCATCGTCATCATCATTGTTGTTGTTGTTGTTGTTAGAACATTTATACAATATGAAGTATTATAATGCACTACTGCTTCATTATTATGGGATAATAAACAAAATGCACATTTAGTTTTGTTACTCTTCAGATTGAACATGTAAACAATACATAGGTATAGCAAATATGTAGATCTCTATCTATCTATCTATCTATCTATCTATCTATCTATCTATCTATCTATCTATCTATCTATCTATCTATCTATCTATCTATCTATCTATCTATCTATCTATCTATCTATCTATCTATCTATCTATCTATCTATCTATCTATCTATCTATCTATCTATTTATCTATCTATCTATCTATCTATCTATCTATCCACAGATCTATCTATCTGTCTATCTATCTATCTATCTATCTATCTATCTATCCACAGATCTATCTATCTATCTATCTATCTATCTATCTATCTATCTATCTATCTATCTATCTATCCACAGATCTATCTATCTATCTATCTATCTATCTATTTATCACCTAGTTTTACAGTTTCAGTTGTAGCCAGTGACCTATTTATATTCTTGGCTGAATTGTAAAAATTTTATACTTATTCCGACTGACAATTCAATACTGACTAGTGCGATGTTCATCTAGTTGTTTATAGTTACAGTGTGTCAGTTACCCCAAGTCTGAACATGCACTTGGTTGACATGTATAACAACTAACATAAAACTCAAGTCCACGGTTTTCAGTTGATTCTCTTTCAAAGCATAGTTCTTATTATGTTAAGCTGGTTAGACTGGTGATCATATTACAACTTCATAATTATTCACAAATAGTTTACTTTAAAATTCTACACAGTATTAACTATGAAGTTGTGGAAAATTATTTTCAGTTATTTTACTCCCATTTTAATAAATATGTGGCTAATAGTGTCTCTAAGCAATCGTCTTTGAACCAATCAATGCTAAATTGAAACTTCACTTTAATTTGAATAACCTGGTAGCATCACTAGCCCCCATACGAACGTATCGATTCATATTTAAGTACATTTAATTTTTGTACCTGATACATAAGTTCTTCTTGAAGAAATTTTCATAATTAAAAGAAAAGTTTCAAAAGAGAACTATCAACATGTATCTGTGATCTTGAGGGAACTGATGCTCCCTGATGGATGTGATCCCGTATTACCCAGCTTCACAGTCAAGAACGTTACCACTGAGCTATTTGGGTGATGACTAACCTCCTGTAGCACTGAGGTGTATTTACAATTGATCGATCAATAGATGGTGATCATTGTCATGTATGTGTAGATCAAATCCTATCGACCAAGTTGCAATATGGCTGCTAGGATTCAATCTGCACTAAGAATGACCTGACATATACATGACATTGATCATCACCCAGTGATCGATCCTTTGTAAATATTTGAAATTATTGTTAAATTACAAGTAGAGATGGATAATGGTCAGCAGGGGAAATCTAGGATTTCTGTTTTGTTCTATTTATGACTTGTCAGTTGGATTTATCTAAATCCTAGAGTTGATATCAACTGAACAACTTCAGTTTTTATCATCATTGGAAAGATTTAAATAATCAATACAAATGAATTTCATACAATTAGTTCGAAAAGAAATCATTATTACTTGTTAGAATTTATAGAAGAATAATGCTAGAATTACCATTAATTTACTCTTAATATAGATTGAATAACTAATGAACTAGTGAATGTTTTTCAAAAATTACTTAATTACTTAATTAATTACTTCATTTATCTCTCATGGAAGAGAATAGGCTACCCAACAGCATTCTCCATCTAACTCGGTCTTCGACAATCTTTTCCAGTTGCTATTAATCTTTTTCATGTATGCTTCCAATTCCCAAGGTATTGTGTTCTTCTGCCTCTATCTTTTTCGTTCCCCTTCAGCATATCAACTAAGCACTTACCTCATGATGTAGTTTGGTGATTTCCTAAGTGTATATTCTATTCACTACCATTATGGTTTTCTATTTTTTTTTTTTTAATTTTTTTTTGCTTCCATTGAAAGTTGATTTATTCTCTCTTACAATAGTCTCTTATTGATGGTATGTAAATTATGTCATGAAAAATGAAGTTTGTTACACTAATATTATTGATCTATTCAATGAACACTATTGAATCATTAAACAATGTATTGTAAATTACTATTGTTCTATCTAATATTTTAACTATCTTTTATCTATCTATTCTAATTATATTTTTAACCCAGCAGAATTGGTTAAATGATTTGGATATATTCGCTGTATTATTTGCTGCAGTAATACATGATTATGAACATACTGGTACAACTAATAATTTCCATATAGCTACACGGTATGTTATTAATTATTTTTACGAATATGTATTTTCAAGTTTCTTACTGTATTAAATATGAACATAAATGAAGATAACCAAATGGGTTCGAACACAAGTAAGGATAACCGAATGGGTTCGAACACAAGTAAGGATAACCGAATGGGTTCGAACACAAGTAAGGATAACCTAATAGGTTCGAACATAGCATTATGAAGTTGATTCTCTTAACAAATTTATACAAGATGAGAACAATGGTTTCCACAAAATGCAAACAAATTCATCACTTTTTTTTTAGTTTTTGAATTGTCAATATTTTATAGTAGTTAGTTGATATGTAACTTAGTAGAGTAGGTAACGAGTTACAGTGGATTTGATTAAATCCTTATCAGGTCAAGTAAAAAGAATGACTAGCTCTATCTTGACACAGTTGATTGACAGTGGTCATATGATAGATAAGATCAAATCATTTCAAGTAATTTATCGTATACGTTCATCGTTTCATAGTGCGGTTCGATCCCGTCTCCTACATACAATTAAAGCTATAGGGATCCGAAAACATAGTTTAAATGTTCAACAGGAATTTATGACACCACTGTCGTTTACTTGTCTGGAGATCACTTGATGAACTATTTTACTAACTTTTCTTAAGTCCCATATTTATTTGTCATCTTGCTTCTTCCTCGTTCTTCCATTAACATTCTTCACTATTTAGTCACTTACACACTTCTCATTACTTACTTACTTACTTACGCCTGTTACTCCTAATGGAGCATAGGCTGCCGACCATCATTCTCTAACCCATTCTGTCCTGGGCCTTCTTTTCTAGTTCCATCCAATTCTGGTTCACTTTTCTCATGTCTATCTCCATTTCCCTGCGTAATGTGTTCTTTGGTCTTCCTCATTTTCTTTGACCTTAAGGATTCCATATGAGGGGTGGTCTTGTGACGCATTTCGGTGCTTTCCTCAATGTGTGTCCTATACATTTTCCAGCGCTTCTTTCTGATTTCTTCCTCCGCTGGAATCTGGTTTGTTCTCTCCCACTTCTCATTACACAATTTTAGTAATGTTTTGTGATTGTTATTTTAAAGTCTATTTATCGTAGTTTGACCTACTTCATATGTCGAATTGTGGACTACAACGCTTGTTATTTTATTATTCTTATCACTACTACTACTAGTACACTCAGGTTCTTATCATTGATTTGTTCTTTTCATGTTTTATGTGTAGTTATGTAATCTATTTGATTGTGATCATTATCTCATTTGGTTTAATATTTTCTGATCAATATTTATGTATATTACAGTAAGGATTGATGATGATCTACTTGGATTCATTTATATTTTAGTGAAAGAGAATAGCCTCCAAATGCCATGGTGTGGCAGAGATTGGGGTGGGCCTGCCCTCCCTCTCGAAATGCTCTTACACGGCCACGCGTATACAGCCACTGCCAGGGAAGTCCTACTCATTGCCTTCTCGTGGGGGGGGTGTTTTCTACGAAAATGAGGGGACGAAAAGCGAATGTCCAGAGCATTAACCGGATCCCAAACCAATGGTGCACATGGGCTCTAATATCGTGAGGGAACAAATGGCGTATGAATCAATGGTTGGTCGCCGGCTACCATGGGACTGCATCTCCTCATGATGCTCCACTGCCTTGTGGGTCAGACCTTTAGGTCAAAGGCTCGGAATGTGACCCCTAAGCAAACCACCTGCTTTGATCTGGTCATCCGGGCAGTATTACAGCCCACACATAAATATAATGGTGAAAATGAACGAGAATACAAAAGCGGAACAATTAAATCTCTTAGTAAAATCTGAGAATCATACAGTAAATAATTCATGAGCAAAATGTCAATGAATTGTCTCAAACTTGACTTTTCCTTCATTTCTACAACAATCACTCCCTGTTCTCGTTCTCCTTTCTTTGATCTTCATTAACCTTCTGCCTCCAAACATTTCACTTTCGATTAATGATACATACTACTTATATCTATCGATATCAGTAGCACACACCACAATACTACATCTTCGTTAACATCTATGATTATCTACATGAACTTATCAGGAAATTTATAAAGAAAAACCTGATTAACTTTAAGGTTTAAACATACCCCTATTGATTGGTTTGAGAAACATTCCAATGATTGATTTCAGAAAGTTTCACTGTTGGCATTTATTTTATGATTGTGATATATTGATCATTTTAAGTAGTCACATATACAATTCATTGTCTATACATGTTAAATAGATCAATTAATAATGATCATCATTCTGCAACCAGTTTGAGTATATAAGACTTTTCAATTAAAAAAACCCCTTCTGATATTAATCAACATATGCTCACTAGTGACCGGCTTCAAGATGTATATCCTGGAGTTCTGATGAGAAGCAGTAACTAGTAAAGTTCAACCAGGTCAGTTGTGAGACAGTAACTCACTGAAGACATTGGTGGATGTGTTGCTCAATTTCGTGGATTAGTCGAAGTTAGACATTAACACCGGTGGATGCCGGCAAGCTCAGTGGTCTAGTGGTTAAGCGCTCGCTCTTGCGCTAGACTGATAGGTCCTGGGTTTGAATCCCGCTGGTCGAGGTGGTGAGTGCGCACTTATAAGGAGTCCTACAATAGGAAGAAATGGTCGTCCAGTGCCTTCATGTGGTGCTTCTATGGTGGTCTAGCTTCAATTGACTTACGGTCTTATCTATTGAAATTGTATGTTTCGTTTATTAGTAATTTTTTTTCAAGTTTTTAATTGTCAGTGTTAGTTACCGTAAGTTTAGTACTATCTAGAACTTATAGAACTACAGAAAAATGTATTCAAGGAGTAATTTATCTGCTGAACTCTATTATTAACAAGCATGTATACCATCCAGTCTTTAGTCATTTATGATTACTTTGTAAACAAGTTTAAAGTGCAACTCTTAAATGACATGATGTTATGGTAAAGCGCGGTTGATTTTGCGTGTCTTGAGTAACTGTCCTTATTAACACTACCGTTTTCAAATGTATATGACTACTTTTTCTCTGTATAAAGTGAAGTATTACAAATCTATATACTCCTTCCTCCTTCTCCCCCTCCTCCTCCTCTCTCTCTCTCTCACCACCATCATTCAGCTTAACAGTTAAACCTTCACATTTTTAATCTTCTATTGATGGTTTTTTTCTTCTTTTAGTTCTGAATTAGCTTTAATTTATAATGATCGTGGAGTATTAGAAAATCATCATGTTAGTGCAGTTTTTCGTTTAATGCAAGAAGAAGAATTTTCAATACTGACTGGACTAGAAGCTGATCAATACAAGTAAGTTAAATAATTTTCTATATAAGTTTTGTAATAGGATACTTTACAGTGAAACAAAAAGTATGATTTTCAATTTTTTTGATTATAATCACTGGATATTGTGACAAGATATTTAGATTATGATAAGTATTATCCTTAATGGTCTAGAGGTTATGTCGTTCTCACGTGAGACTGATAGGTCCTGAGTTCGAATGTCGCTAGACGGAATCGTGAATGCGCATTATTGAGGAGTCCTATAATAGGACGAAACGGTTGTCCAGTGCTTCCAGGTTTTTCATGATGGTCTAGCTTTGATTGACTCATGATCTCAACCATTAAATTATTATCCTTATAAATAAAATATGTATTTATGTCGAATAATAACACTGCTATGGTGTATGCTACTTATATCGACATAAGTAGTATATAGCGCCATCAGGAATAGAATACCTGTCAGCAGAAGGTTGACAAGTTCGAAGAGGATAGAATGGGAACAAAAAGGTAATTGATATGAAAATGCAAGAACAATGAAATCTGAAACAATAAATGAACATTTTGCAAATGAAGTAATGGAGTATGGTTTTTCTATTTTACCAAGTAACTCTTTCTACTGACTTGATACAATTTACCAAAAGTAGCAAAAAGTATGTTTAAGACTTCCTTATTAATTCATAATATAACAATCCCGTCATCAAAAATCTGCTAACCTATTCATTACCTTACAAGGATCATATAATGAAACTTTTCAGCAGACACCACTTACATATTATGATTTTTATAGGATCTCTGATTATAGAAATCACTTCACAGTTATATAATATACCCTTGTGGGCTAGGGTAATTTTACATCGGTTTTCAGGAGAACCAGACACCGTCCAGACTTTCACGTGACAACCCAAACAGTACAGCCCAAGCCCGTTTAACAGGAGAGCCGGACACCGTATAGGCTTTAACGCTACAATCTGAATAGTGCAGCTCAATCCTGTAGCGCAACCCCACAGGTACCAAGCACCCTGGTGGACCAATAGAGATTACTTACTAAATTATAAAACATTAGAAAATTGAAAATTAAATCTGAAAAGTAAGTTAATGACATGAAAGCTACTTTCAAAGCTTATAATCCATTATGTGACATACTGAATGACGTTTATGCTATTGGTTTGTCGATGAAATCGAGACTTATTCTTTATACATAGTATTTTTCCTGTCAGCACTAATGTACTCAAATTGATGTTTAATACAATTATCTGTATTGGTCATTATAAATAGATTTTCTCTTCTTTTAATGATCTGTGATAAAACTTTAAGTATAGGAAACTGACAGAATATCAGTGTACCGTTTTGATTCTGGTAATCATTCTGAGGTAATGAGTAAGGTATCATAATCAACAACGTGGAGTACACCAACCTAATCACACTTGAGGGTGAAACTCTGTAAGATGTGAAATCTTCACGTATCTGGGAAGCATCATAGATGGACAAGGAGGATCAGATGCAGACGTAAAGGCGAGGATTAGAAAAGCAACGACGGCATTCCTACAGTTCAAGAACATATGGAATTCAAAACAACTTCCAAACAATATCAAAGTCAGAATCTTCAATACGAATGTCAACACAGTTCTACTGTATGGAGCTGAAACGTGAAGAACTAGTAAAACTATCATCAAGAAGGTATAAGTATTTATAAATAATTGTTTACGCAAGATACTCAACATCCAATGGCCGGACACTATCAGCAACAACCCACTGTAGGAGAGAACAAACCTGCTTCCAGCTGAAAAGGAAATTAGGAAAAGACTCTGAATGTGGATGGGACATACATTATGGAATCACGAGGCAAACCCTAACTTGGAATCTTCAAGGAAAACGGAGAAGAGGAAGGCTAAAGAACACATTACGTCGGGAAATAGAAGCGGATATGAAAAGGATGAATAACAACTGGAAGGAGCTGGAAAGGATTGCCCAGGACATGGTTAGATGGAGAGTGATGTTGGGCGGCCTATTCTCCACAAGGGGTAACAGGCCTAAGTAAGTAAGTAAGTATCATAATCAACCACTAGGAATATTGTCTGACACTACATATTAACTTGCAAAGAATATAAATCAGAATCATAATAGGGAAATAGTACTATCAGTAAGTTAATGTATTTGTGTAATGACCGTGATGACCATTTATTCAGTCATTTTGTTATTATATTCAGACTGACAGATCATTTTCTAATTTCTAATTTGTTAGAGAATTCCGTCAACTTGTAATTGATATGGTTTTATGCACGGATATGTCGTTACACTTCCAACAAATTAAAAATATGAAAACTATGATTTCAATGCCAGAAAGGTATGTCATGTTATCCAGTACTAGTTAACATATGTTGATTTGTAACTACTTATGATATTTTTAAGTAGTATAATTATTATAAAACATTTTTTGAGAGCAATAAGAAAGACAGTATAATATCACCACTTATAAACTTAACTATATTTCTAATCGTATTTTTAATGCACCAGCTGACTAAGAATTGCACTCTATAAAATATAAACTACCATATACGTCTTAGAACTATAAATTCTCTACACAAGAAGGTTACTAGGATATTAAACAGCTTTTGAGACTGCTTTATTCTTGATCAAAAGCCTATAAATCTAACAGTTCATAAGTTTTCAAACATACGTACCCTCCATATTTATCTAAGGTATACCTAGTCAAATGACTAGAGAATAAACTTAAACGAATTTGAAAGAAAAAGTATACTTAAAGTTATAAGTATGGCTAATCTAATTCTGTTGGAATTATCATTTTCTATGTTAAAAGAGAATGTCCTTAATGTTAAATCAATTGGTCAATACTTCTTGTTTTTGATAGTTTCCCAATCACCATGAAACTTAACTTTAAACTGAACAAATGCACAAAATAGGACACTTGAATTTGTCATGTTTCATTCATTGTCATAAACTTTACTAATCATTATTGAATTGTGTACTGTTATTTATTTTATTGAGAGTTTGGATCAGTATGTTGATCTTTATTATGAAGTCTAAACAAATAAAGAACCATGAGAGATCATGGTAAGCATAATATATCACTAATACGAAATACAGTAGTTGATACTTTCAAATTCAGCTAATAAGAGATATAATGCAACATTAACCAGTATCATGGATGCATGAATATCTCATCATCGTTATTGCTTACTATGCAACTTACAGTTGTTTGTTTAAATTGTAAGAGTTTTTCTCAAAGCTATCCGTTAGTGCCCATATGGATATTATTAAAACATGTAGCTTTGTAGTGATTTAATTTTCAATAGTTCTCCAATTACTGAAGGCTAATAGCGAATAATGTCTATGAACCTACACACTCTTTGTGAGATATTATATTAGAGGACGGGGTTTGTAGAAGTTATAGAGTTTTTTAAATTTATATCATGAACTAATCTTAAGTAGACCATCGGTAAAAATCAGCAAAAACTAGATAGCTATTTTTTATGAGACTCTTCAGTGGCAGTGTTCATGTATGACTCCATCACAAGGGATGGAAGATCGGTGTTTCACAGAAAGAGCATCGCACATGAGACCAAAAGTTCTATATTCGATCTCTTAGTGGTGAGGTCATGGATACACACTACTGAGTAGTTGTATACTAGGCCGAAACCATTGTACAATGCTCCTCGGTTTTCAATGGTTGTCTGATTAAGATGAGTCAGTGATGTATTTTCTGTAACCTAAAAACGATTATGCCTATCTATTATAAATAAAAAATTTCGGGACTATAAACTATCTTCATAAATGACATTCCAATAGATGTATTAGTTATTCTTCTTTTTCTGTTTCTCTTCTTACCAACTTAGTATTGATAAAACAAAAGCATTATCTCTCATTGTTCATTGTGCGGATATTTCACATCCAGCAAAAGAATGGTCTCTACACGAACAATGGTCTGATATACTGTGTGAAGAATTCTTTAGACAAGTTAGTTAAACTGAAGTTGTTATATTATTATTATTATTATTATTATGCATTGTAATATCTTAATCTAATGAACCGCGTATATGGTGATATCAAGTGTTGTTAGAGCTACGAGTACAGTTGTCATTGCCCTTTTCCCTACACTATAGAAGAGTCCATCTTCATAAGGTAGACATAAAGGAAAAATGGAAGTATGACCTCACCATCCAAGATACAGCTGATTATACGTGATTGTACACAGGACTTTCATGAGTAGTCTCTGATATGTGCTCGTTCCATAGTACCTTTAGTGACGATAATCCATGGCAAAAAGTAGAGTGTTTTTTTAGGACTGACGTCAGCTAACCTTTTGTTCGAAATCTTCACTTCTATAGATACTCGTTGTTTGAGTGACATACCTTACTGTTGTCATACTTCAGTATAATAAACAGTCCTACTTTACTCTCATCCCTTTAGTTGATGCCATTAATCTTACTGTTTTCTTACTTCTCTTTCTGTAATAGTAAGACCTAAAACAATGTATCTTAACCAATATAACACGATTGTATCATAACAATAAACAACTCTTACCAACAAATCAAGGCAGAAGTTATTTCTGAGAATCGGATGAGAACTTTTATTATTTTCCATAACTGAAGAAACTGGACTGTTTTGTGTAATTCAACATTGAAAAAAAAGAATTTTATTGAACTAATCACAAGATTCATTTAGTGTATACTACTTCCTCTGATGAGACTAAAATTTATGGACGACCTTTGAGTGACGCTAGAGTGACCTTGAGAGCATCCACCTACTAACTAGAATCAAATGAGGGTTATAAACCAGTGTGATGAATTAGGTTTCAGGGTTTTCATCACGAACTGACATCAACTATAATGCTAAAACTATATCTAATCAAGTGAATGAGTGAATTTCGTGCCAAAATGCGAGACCTGTTACCTTATATCTGATTGGTTCGTTCATAAATTATAGTCTCACCCTTCTTCTTAAAAGGAATAATATAGTTGAGTAGTCTATTGATTATATCACCTTTTGATGGAGTTTTTTTTTCTGAGCTAGATGGTTTAGTCGTGTACCCATCAAGATCAAAGAAGAAAACTTCATCAAAACCATCCACTTAAGTTACAAATCTTCTCCATCATCTCATTATATCACCCCCATTTTATAATATTGTAGAAATTAAAACGAAAACTCACTTGAAATTATAGCTAAGTAATAAACAAACAAAGTTGATAATGATAAGAGTCTTTTAAAAACCATTAGGAAGTTATATATTATCTATATAGCCATGACTAGTGGGGTTCAACTGTGTTTTTTATGAGGCAGTTACTTACTGAAGACAGTGGTGGGCGGTCGCGCACTATTGGGAATTGGTTTAAGTTAGACATTAACGCCATTTTATGTCGGCTCAGTAGTCTAGAGCTTAAATGTTCGTGCGCGATACCGAAGATTCTGGATTCGAATATCGTGTGCGAGATCGTGGATGTGCACTGCTGATGAGTCCCACACTGGGACTGAACGGCCATTCAGTGCTTCCATGTTTTTCATGGCGGTCTAGCTTAAATCGGCTCATATATATATATATATATATATATATATATATATATATATATATATAATCATGTATTCTTTTAATAATTTCTTTCCACTTAAAGGGTGATCGGGAACGTGAATTAAACCTTCCAATATCACCATTATGTGATCGTAATACGGTTGTTGTACCACAATCACAAATTGGTAAGTTGTTTTCATATAAACGTAAATAATTCTATGATAAATCAAATAATCTATTGAATACCTTCATTTAATTTTTTATTATTATTATTAGTTTCCATTAATTTAAATGTAAATTTCATAGATTTAAGAAAAAAATATTCTCAGAAGGGGTTTTGTGGAGATTTTAGTAATTCTAATAGTTGAAATCATGAGTTAATCAAAGCTAGACCACCATGGAAAACCTGGACACACTGGACAACCGTTTCGTCCTAGTATAGGACTCCTCAGCAGTGCTCATCCTCCATCCCGCCCCCGGCGAGATTCGAAGCCAGGACCTATCAATCTCGCGCACGAGTGCTTAACCATTAGACCACTGAGCTAGCCGGCATCCAACGATGTTAATGCCTAACTTCAAATCCCGCGAGGGGCAGGATCGTGGGTGCGCGTTGCTGAAGAGTCCCATACTGGGACAAAACGGCCGTCCAGTGTTTCCATGTTTTCCATGGTGATCTAGCTTCAATTGACACATGATATCAACTATTGAAATTACAAAAACATTCATTTATATAGAATCAATTAGGTGAAGAAGTGAATTGTTTTCTACATACTCCATCCATATGACAACGTTCTATGTTAAAATTTAAATAACCTGTCTACACATAATATTCCTTTGAAGTTCCCTCAGTTCAGTAAGATTATACCACTAAAATAAATCAAGAACAAAAGAACTACTTCTAGTTCTTTTTAAGCGAACTTCACAAATACAGCTAATTATCATTCAGGTAACTAGAAAGTATCTTTATTGAATGTTAAAAAGTGTTCAAGCTCAATAAGAAAGACTATACTTTGTTATGATTAGATTAGAACAATGTATGTGTTAAAGTATTCAGAATATTGATTATTTCCGATCTCAGTTAAAAGTGGTTCCAGTTACGTTTGTTCAAAGCAAACTTTCAACCAAATAATCCATAAATTGATTAGGACGTCTTCTGTGTATTATATTCATATTGTATATCCTTAATGTAGTGAATGAGAACACAAGTGGGGATAATCGAATGTATTTGAATACAAAATTACAGAACATCTTAATAAAATCTGAGAACCATACAGTGAATACTTCATGCGCAAAATGTCAATCAGTTGCCTTAGAAATGATTGTTTCTTTTGTAAATATCGGTCAGTCATCTCGGACTTCATTGTTCCTGCATTTCCATACTAACCTTTTTCTGTCCCCGTTCTTTCTTCCTCGATCTTCTTGACCTATTCCTGACTAGTGTTATATACTACTTATGGCGATATAACCAGTACACACCACACTAACTAGCATCTCAGTTCTAGGCTGGCATCGGCGTCCTCAGAACAGCACTCTTCCTCTCTCCTGGTTGGCAGCGACACCAAATGTAATGAACAAGGACGCAATCGGGGAAAGTGGAATGTATTTGAGCACAAAATTACAGAGCATCTTAGTAAAATCTGAGAACCATACGGTAAATACTTCATTTGCAAAATGTTAATCAGTCATCTCAGACTTTACTGTTCCTTTGTTACCACACCGATCATTCTCTGTTCACGTTCTCTTTCCTTTGATCATCTTAACCTTCTGCCTCCAGATATTTCACTTTTGATTAATGATACATACTACTTATATCTGACGACATCAGTAGCACACACCACATCAAGATCATTGTTTCATAACTTTATTTTATCAATTTTTTTGTGAAGATTATTTGGAATTGATTAGGTGGTTTTGTAAACAAACCAACAAAAATGGACGGGGTTTTTTTTTGTAGAAGAAAATACTTTGATTTTAAGACAAGTAAACCGATCACGACCTTTTTATATCTCTGAAACATATAGAAATGACGTATTTATTTAAGTTGTATTGTTGTATCAGCCAAGATGGTTGATTTAACATATATGATGATTGGCTAATAATGTTTAGAACAATTTCAAGATCATTCTCATCATCTATCAAGATGCATATTGTTTTCATGATTCTATGCATTTGACTTCTATTTAAGTAATATAATTTTTTTTTCTCAAAATATTATTCTATTAGGTTTCATTGATTTCATTGTTGAACCAAGTTTCCAAGTTCTTGGTGATATGATTGAACGTATTATTAATCCACCACAAACTGAAGGAGTTCTACCAACAGATCCAACAAGTCCTAAGCCTAAATCTCCTGATCAAGAAACTGGTAAGTTTTTGTTTCGATGATATTCAATAATTTGCGTATATTAATTAAGACTTCAGAAGAATATAACATGAGATTAGTGTATGGTATGATTTGGCTTTTTTTCTATCATTCATAATTTTTCAACCTAAATGGATAAATAAAGATGGATGGTGGCTAGCAATGGAATCCAGAACGCACGTTTTGTCCTATTCCGGGCTCTTCAGTTGAATGTACCTGTAAACAATACTAAGTGAATTTAAATAAATGGATATGTTGTAATGAATTAAAATGCACAATATCAGGTTTATTATGTTACATATGACATCAGATTGATTCTCGTTTGAAAAAAATATAACGAAACTTGAGGAGATGACATTGTCATAAAGTGACTATTGCTCACTTCTTATGAGATATTCTACTTTTACAACTTAAAGAGTCTTCTAGGTCTTTTTGAAGGGAACCCTAGTAAACGTAGTAGCAAGATTGGTAACCATCCAATCAGAAATGTCACATGTGATTCTTCACTTTCTAGATGTTTCTGAGAAAGTTCTATTCAGTGCTGTTTGAATATTCTGGATCTTCGCAACAATAAAATACCAATAACAAATGTAGATGCTATCAAATAACACTATATAAGTAAGACTTTCGTAGATTAAGGTTTCAAATGAATACAGTAGACAATGAAAACTTGAACCTTGACTAAGTGAATAACCGACCTCCTCCAAAGTGTGTTTCGTTTATAATTTCTCACTTACAGTTTGACCTTGAGTGATCGGTAAGTACAGATAAGTGGTATGTTTAGATTCTTCCACCTTATCAATACCATTAAGTACTTGTGGTTTAGATCCAGTTATAGTTTTTGTTTTTAAAGATATTGTACTTGGTTGAAGTACCAACTCGCTTGCATTTAACGTATAAGATTGTTCAAAGTTTTGATAAACGTCTTCTTAAAAAAATAATTAAAAAATCGGAATTTAAAAATCAAGTTAAAGTATTGTCATATGCTTAGTTTAACTGCTTGCCATTGTTTATAGTGTCTTCAGTTTAGACATATTGATGACATCCACAAGGTGATTGTGGAAAACACTGAAATCCCTGAAAGATTTTAACTTTTGAACAAAGTTTTTTTTTTAAATGACACTTCGCTTATTACTAACCCCGTTTTCTTTGAAATATAAACTATTTATAGTTGGTGAACAAATAGTTCCACGTCCATGGGTTGATCATTTCAAAGAGAATAAAGAATCATGGTCAAAGAGACTTCCACCGAAAACTTAAGAAAATAGAAGAAGCAAATTCAGATGTACAACATATATTAAATCATAGAATTTATTAAACTGTTATTACTAACGTTAACATTATTCTTACTATCATTCCAAAAAATGAACAATTTAGATAAAACACTTTCTTTAAGTTATTTACCATTGCAAAAAAAACCACTACTACTACAAATACTAATACTACTACCACTACTACCCCCACTACTACTACTACTGCTCTTACTACTACTACTACTACTACTACTACTACTACTACTACCACTACTACCCCCACTACTACTACTACTGCTCTTACTACTACTACTACTACTACTACTACTACTACTACTACTACTACTACTACTACTACTACTACTACTACTACTACTACTATGACTACTACCACTACCAATACTAATATTACCACTACAACTACTGATAATACTACTACCAACACCACCACTAATACTAATACTACTACTACTACTACTACTACTACTACTACTACTACTACTACTACTACTACTACTACTACTACTACTACTATGACTACTACCACTACCAATACTAATATTACCACTACAACTACTGATAATACTACTACCAACACCACCACTAATACTAATACTACTACTACTACCAGTACTAATACTACTACTACTACCACTACTAGTACTAATACTACTACTACCACCATCACTACTACTACTACTACTACTACTACTACTAACAAGTGATACATATATACTAACTATTTGCATACATCATATATTTCTCTGTGTTCGTTGAAACGATCGAAATAGAACGAATTTGTTTTTGTCGATAAGTTAAAAGAAGAGAAACAACTTTTAAATAGATTTAAGAATATATTTAGACAGATTTAAATGTGTGTGTGTTTTTTTTTCTTTGATTGTTTCGTTTGATTCATTTGATGAAATTTGATTGAACATAACATATGAACAGTTTACGGAATAATAATAATAATAATAATAATAATAATAATAATAATAATAATCCATATATTCTGAGAAAAAGAATAATTATAGAATTCACGCCAGTTTACAGGTATGATCAATTTGATATAAATAATAACATTAGATGTAGAGAACAAACATGTGATATAAGATAGTTTTAAGTATTTTAGTTCAGTAACTGTTTAGGTAGTACATTTATGACATGTATTGAAGCAATCCAATGCATCAGCCGGGAACTTTTAATATTTCTTAAGTGAACAGCCTGTTGATTTATGAACGGTATATTTAAGGTTATTTCCTGTGCCAGAACGAATTAATGATAATTATCTATAACTAGAGAAAATAAAACCAAAACAGAAAGTACAGAACAACAAAGCAATCATTACCGAAATATGTCAATCAGGTCTATCATAATGCATATGTCATTTGACTCAGCGATATACTGTTGATGTTATTCAAATTAGTTGAACTTTCTGGGTGACAGCAAGTAGGTGGTTTTACTTAGGGAATGCACTAATAAAGATGGCTGAACATTTAAAGTTCCCATAATATCACTTGTGGAATGAGATACACTTACAGGTGCTAGAACATTCAATGCATTTTCAGAACAGAAGTATGCATCAATGCAATGAACAAATAATGGGAGTGATTTTATCGTACAGATACGTTGTGGTAGGTTATTCTAGAGTCTACAAAATATACAAGCAAAGTAATTCATATAAACAGATGATTTAGAATAAGTTTGTTTCACTAGTGCCAATTCTTTCTGTACAAGATGATGTTATAGAAAGTATGAACAATCGGAGGGACAACTGTAGTGTAGCGTCGAGTCGTGTTTGACTATGATCACTAATACAAGAAGACTAAGTGCCAATTAATCGATAAGATCCCCCTTAGGTCAAATATCAGCAGTCAGTTGATGACTGTAGCGAGATATATTTGTTGGCGATCTCGTGGCATCAAAAAAACACCTAGATAGTGCCAAAAGAGTACAAGCGGATTCACTGAGAAAACGTAGGCGCATACAAGGTCGCAATCAACGGAAGGAAGAATGTCTTTGGTACGGTTAAACAAACAAGTACAGTAAAACAATCACTGGTACAGTTGGTTATAATAGTAATTGTCTCCATTACACCAATCGTGTTCTGTTGGTAAAAGTAGGTCACTACACAACAATGAACTTCTAGTCAAAGAATTGTATTTGTTTAATGAAATTGCTAACCAGTTTCTATCATACTACTTAAGATATATATTATACACTTGAAACCATATCTATGTTTCACACAAACATTAAATACTAATTGGACTAGAGCAAAAGATGATTGGTAAGTGCTAGATTATCGTATAGTTGCAGCTAGATCACTAGTATTTATTCTTAGTCATGTTGGGGGAGGATTGATAGTGTATCTAAGGTAGGATGAGATCAATGTAACCATTTTGGTTGAAATAAAAAGGATAAGAATGTATTACTGATTATAATACGACCCTTGAAATCATGGTTTATTCATATTTGAGTGGAGACATCATCTTGAAGAACATCATTGACCGAAATGAAACTACTACGTATACGTAATAGCTTTTGCTTGCTAGAGAATGAAAAACACTTTCCTAACTAGTGAACCAAAATTGAAGCTACTGAAAGTTAGCAGTAAGGTATATGACCGAATTATCAAGGGGGATGAGATCCATTACTGGGTGAAATCTTATCCAGTCGATATCAAATTGTATATGTCAAGATGTCTGTCTGTCTATTTGTTTTCATGCATATAGCATTCTAGAGTACTCATCGTCTAGTTCTAAATGTTGTGAATTCATGCGATATCAAAATTACCAGCTTCACAATTTAGTTACCTTAATTTGTAAACCCTTGAATATTCTGTTGATTCCTTGATGGTTATGAGGTTGCATGAACTGTCTCTAGCTTATTTACTTACGCCTGAATGATATGCATTGATTTTTTGTTATTCTGACCGAGTACGGACACATTCACTGTGCTCCGAGTCATATGCTGTTACTTTGTTCTAGCTGTTGCGCCTGTAATAGACTTCCTATGAAACACATGGATAAGTAAAAAGACAAAGTTTTAATTTGGGCATCCTTTACGTACATAATGGTTAGAAGTTACCACTAGGTCTAGAAAACATAATCAGTCCAGTACGAGTTACGGTCAACAACCAGCTACCACCTAAGAAGACACCTAATCATTTTCGCGACGCAGCTCCAGCTTTCGCACCAAAAACCTGTAGTGTAGTCGAGGATTATATACGAAGATTGAAGATATGTATATTTCAACAGCGAACATTCGAAAACTATCATTCATACGACCTAGCTGAAGTCAGATCTCTGGGCTATTGAATTCCATTTTGAAAAATCTTCACACCATTAGTTATCTGAAATATGCGCTTTCATATGCTTCTGTAATTGACACCCAGCTTTAGAATATCTGGTTCTGTATAATTGCAGTGTTTGAGTCATAAAACGTCTCAAAGCTACTATCCGGACGAAATAAGTAAACGTTTTGCATTACTTATGGTCTAACACACATAAAGTCAAAGTGTAATTGAAGTATCTTCCTGAAACACTTGTTCAAAGACCGATTTTAAGGATAATTCTATACCCTCTCTTCGGAAATAGGGAGCAAACATTTCCGTTTAGTGGAAAAGAAATTGTTATTCCTGATTAATAAGGTCTGATATCGATGAATTCCAAAAGCTAATAGTCTTATAGAAGAACATTATTAAAGACTTGAGATACAAATTCTTAAAGTCGGCATGGGATTGAATCAGCGGCGTTGTGGTCTAGTCACTGTACATCTTGATTGCAAGAGAACTATAACGAGTAAACAAGTGATAAATTAACATAGAAACGTGTGAAACCTGACTGAATACCAAACTCTCGTGACAAGAAACCTAGGAAAATCATTCGCTTATTATCTAAGTCGTGTTCAATATACTTTACCCTGGGTTGCCTTACAAGAAAGCGAATCGGACAGAAATATACAACTTTATATGCTAACTAGTGATCCTTATTAATTCCAGTACCCACGTACAGAATAGTATTAAAGTTAGATGGAACTTTTTGAGTATAATAAAACAATCTGTATTTGAGATTCAAATCAACCGTGGAATAATTTACAAAGGAACTATCGGCTAGCATGAACGTCACAGAACTGTCTTGGACATAAGAGGTCCAGCTAAGCCGGATCCAACTCTACTTGTCTCTACCCGACTCGCTTAGTAGTATGGCATTTGCGTCCTCTTACATCTTGATTTATTACCTCGATCATTTGATATGGTTTGTGAAAGACTTTTCAAGGTTTTAGAACGCGAATCAAACCACTGTGCCACCGACCAAAGTGGAAGAGAGGAATCAGTCGGAAAATATTGTCTAGATCCTGTCAGTGTAAAGCATAATCCATTCTCAAATGATTTTGCTGTAAAACCAAACAATGGCGATTCTACAACAGCTAGTCATTTCAACGAAATTTCAACAGTTAAGTACATATAAACAAATCTACGCGTTCTAGTAAACCCATGAGGTTCACAAAATAGTTATAAGAATACAGCATGTAAAATAAGTTTGTTAACTTTTGCTTTATTATTAGCTTTTCATCTTTTACTGACAGTTTTACCTACAGGTGTACTTAAGTAAACGAATAATCTGGAACTTGCTCACAACTGCCAAATGTTCTTCTTGTTAAGAAAAGATTTCATGTTTGTATAATAACGGTCTTTACCTCTGATTGACGTAAAGAATCTCAAATGTATTTCACTGATGTGAAGCGTTATTTGTCCCTTTTGCAAAGTTCATTAAAATTTTAAAAATCATTTTTAAAAGTGCATTTACATTCTCCTTTTTTGTTTTCCAGATCAACTGGAAACGATGAAACAATAGTCTATAGAGCAGAGCCATTATGTGCATTAATTTTCAAACAACTCTAATATAATTGTATACAACCGAAAGTTGCCTAATCTAGGGGGGTAGAAAGCATAAACATATCCAGCTGACGAGTCCAAAGTAAGATGAAAATAGCTTCATGCATTCCTCAAATCGCTAAAAACGTGTGACAAAATGGTAATATCAAGCCATCTTTCCCAGGATGCACATATGGCATTGAGGACCGATTAATTAAAATTCAAAATCTAAACATCAGGAAAAAATAAATCCTCTCAGGTTTCTGAAGTTTGTTAACCGAAAGCTAACTTGTTGAGTTCAAACTTTCAGCTGATTACATCTTCGGGTCCACATGACCTTACCAGAATGACTTCCATGTATGACCAATCTGCCCACACTAATAATGAGTATTATTTGGTAATTAATTGGCTTGGTGAAGTTTCTTTCGTGGATATCAAAGAAAGGCTACAAAGTAAGATTTCGCGAAAGATCTTAGAGTGGAACGCTTCTCCTACCCTTAATATCTTATCCAGGAGTCGGACTTTGGTTTACCTACACATGCAAACAAAAGTAGCACTCAACCTTATCAACAACACTTAATTCCTTATTTGTCTTTGAGTCATTATTTAGAAGACAATGTTCGGGATAATTCTTATGCGTCTTATATCGCTCGTCCTGATAACTGTGATTAGATAACTTCCAGTAGTGTATGTGAGACTTAGAGGATAATATGAGGTTGAAGATGCCACAGGTATTCGGAGTTTGACAACGCTTTAACCACTAACACCTTCTAATACGAAGCGCACCCACCAAGTAAAATCAAAAGACAGAAGTGAGGAGATCGAAGATATATTTGATAAGCTATCAATATATCGAGGATCGTTTGCACTAATCTGGCTAGCGATTGCGGCAGATGTTGGGCACGGCGATCCCACACGTGATCTGGTGTGGATGCTTGACCGAGCGCCTTCAGCCAGATGAGTCCACTAAAACTGTGGTAAGCATCCAATGTC